ACAATGCCACAATAGAAAAACAATATCAGGGCAACTGGAATCCATCAGTGCTTGTTGATTATTGTTGGACAATGCAACATAATGCCTTGGACACTGAGGACAAACACAAATCATCAGCCAAACACTTTTAGTGCTCATGAACTTGTACTATGTATCGGAAATGATGCATTATATATAAATTAATATTATGCGATTAAACACATCATAGTAATTAAAAGTTAATTTCATATTTCTTAAGATTACTACGTGATACAGTCTTTCTGAAAATATACTTGTGTTCAGCTTAAAGGGATCTATCATAATCACCAAACATTTTCAGGAAGCAAAAGTTTTGAAAAGATTTGTTGTCCAGTGTGATTAGACATTGTTAGTCAAATAGCTCTGGTGCTGCCATCTAGTGCACAACAAAATACTTTCAGATCAATGAAAACCTAAACTTGAACTATTCAGGACAGAAATACGGGTGTTGTGTTGCCAGTGTTGACTTGTTTCTCAAGGTGCAATTTCCAGGGCAGCCATCCTCATCATTTCATCACCAAAATGTGAATCACTGGCCAAGAACAAGTATGCGCATTTCTGCTTACAACAGGTACTATTAAAAATGAAGCAGTACAATGGGCACATTTGCACAAAAATCAAAGATATGTGAATTTGATAAAGAAAGTTGTGCAGTGCACTTAGCTAGTAAATAAGGACGGTTACCAAGGATTCAAAGGAAATAGTACTATGCAATGTCTACACATACAGCATAATAACAGATATTGTGCATGTATGTAAAATACTGAGGATGACTCCCAGCATATAGAACAAGAGAAGTGGTATTGTGCAATGTTCAGAATACAGAATAAGAGCAGATTGTGAGACTTACAGCCAGCATACAAAACAAAAGAAGTACTACTGTGCAATGTTTATATCTACAGAATATGTACAGATACAAGGAATAACCGCTAGCATACAGAACAAGAGAAGTGATAGCGCATAGTGTCCATATATACAGAATAAGAACAGATACCAGGAATCATTGCTAGCATACAGAACAAGAGAAATGATACTGCATAGTGTCCATATATACAGAATAAGAACAGATACCAGGAATCACTGCTAGCATACAGAACAAGAGAAGTGTTACTGCATAGTGTCCATATATACAGAATAAGAACAGATACCAGGAATCACCGCTAGCATACAGAACAAGAAAAGTGGTACTGCATAGTGTCCATATGTACAGAATAAGAACAGATACCAGGAATCACCACTGGCGTACAGAACAAGAGAAGTGTGACTGCATAATGTCCATATATACAGAATAAGAACAGATACCAGGAATCACTGCTAGCGTACAGAACAAGAGAAGTGCTAGCGCATAGTGTTCATATATACAGAATAAGAACAGATACCAGGAATCACCGCTAGCATATAGAACAAGAGAAGTGGTAGCGCATAGTGTTCATATATACAGAATAAGAACAGATACCAGGAATCACCGCTAGCGTACAGAACAAGAGAAGTGGTACTGCATAGTGTCCATATATGCAGAATAAGAACAGATACCAGGAATCACCACTGGCATACAGAACAAGAGAAATGGTAGTGCATAGTGCCCATATACACAGAATCAGTAAATATACCAACTCTAGTATCCCTTTTTTCTTTTGTTGATTGCACACAATACATGGAACTACCCTCGGCTTATATTCGGGTCAATACTTTTTCCCAGTTTTTTTTTGGTAAACTTAGGTACCTCGGCTTATATTCGGGACGGCTTATACTCGAGTATATACGGTATATGCATTCAGTCTAGCTGCGTTTACACAAACAAGAACTATATATGTCCAGGAACCGTTTAGCATGTTTTTTTGCAGCTAAATTCATGTGAATGCGAGTACATTTAAACGCATGGGAACTTGGTAAATAAAAGTTTGTTTATACTTCCCAGATCAATTTCTCCTGTGTTAAATGCAGGGAGCTTGTGTGCTTAAGGCCTACTTCTTCATGCTCCTTGTAATTGGGGGCCATAGCAGGGGTATGGCCCCTGTGTACAAACTTTGTGCTGCAATAGGCTTAATTTACAGAGCTTTAACATTCCATTTGAGTCAATTGAAAATAACTGTTACCTTCCTAAAAATAAGGATCCCTATCCTGGTGTTTTAGCTTTTTGAATTGATCCTAATGCAGGTGTGGGCAACTCTGGCCCTTCAGCTGTTCTTTAACTACAAATCCCAGCATTACTCTTCCTCTGGGAGTCATGCATGTAACTGTCAGTTTTGCAATGCTTTATGGGACTTGTAGTTCCACAACAGCTGGAGGACTGGAATTGCTCCCCCCTGTGCTAATGTGTCTCTCTTTCCCAGTGTGGCATTGTGAGGCAATACCACGGTGTTAGGTGGCCTCAAAGTCACCCAGGATTCTCAGCCAGAGGGGCTGAGTGGCTCCAGGAAGACATTACTGGTACCAGGAGAGAACAGCCTTTTCAGTTCTTTCCGGGTTTTCTGAATCATAGTTGGGATCCTGGAGCCAGGAGATTTCTTAGAGCTCTGGGTGGGAGGAAATCTCCATTCCTGGGTCCATGCTTTGGTGGTGACCAGCACATGATTGTGCACCTGTGTACATCCCTCTTGAAGTGTGTGCTGGGATGTGTTCAGGGCCCCCACCTGTGAGTCAGGAGAGCTCCACCCTGGGGTCGGTGTGGAGGCCAGTGCAGCAGGGAGCTGCGGGTTTGTGAACCATATTGGGAGTATTGGCATGTTATTGCCGTTGTCTGGAGGAACCAGACAGTGGCCCTGAAGATTGAGGCCAGAGCAGCAGTGCTGCAAGAGAGACTTATTAAAAGACTGGGACACCGCGAGTGTATGGGACGACTCGAGGATTGGTGAGCTGTCTTATGTTGCTGTAGCAAGCTATTTTGTGTTTGCCCTTTCAATAAACTGCGTTTTCCTTGACTTACCTGGACTACAGTGGAGTGTCCTTGTTACACCAGCTTAGAAATCTGGGATATGTGCGTGACTCCTATAATTTTAAGAGAAACTGAAAAATAAAAAATGGCTTACTGCACATTTTTTTCACACGCCAGGTTTTCTATAAAGCCAAACTCCTGTAAAAATAAAAAATACTCCTACACTGGGGTTCCCCCCTCACGTGTCCATTTTGATCAGAAAAAGGCAATTACCGGTATATTCCTTTTATTGCTTGCACCTGAAGGTATCTTCCCAGTTGCATGACCGGTCCCCCCGAAGCTGCTTCTCTTAGCTGCTCTATCGGCCGTAGGCACTCTGACGTCATCACGTGCAATGCGGGACCAGCAGTCCTGCATTTGAATGGGGATGCTGAGGGTCCTCCTACAACTGCCGGGTGAGCGAGGGATAAGGCCCCGTTCACATTGAGCGATTTATCGCTCGGTAATTCCCGCGATATCGCAGCAATTTACCGCGCGATATCGCTCTCCAATGCTTCTCAATGGGGCAAAGGGTCCTGCTGTCGCGGGTCGTGTGTCGCTACAGCAGGACCCTTTTTGGAGCGGATTTAGCCGCGATTCAAGCTTGCTCAATGCAAGCATTTGCGCGATATCGCGCAATATCGCACAAAATGCAAATCGCGCGACAAACACGCGATTTGCGAACCGCTCAATGTGAACGGGGCCTAAGGTAAGTAAAACTCCTTTTTTTTACGATTCTCCCTTGAAAACAAAACAAGCATTTAATCCTTGCAGTGTGGTGAGAGCATTTTATTTTACCTCGAGTTTAGATTTTAGGGTCCATTATATTATATCATGTATAATATGAGGCTGATGGTATGCACTGTGAATGGGTGGTGAGGTGTTTTGTTAGAACGCCTTGCACTGTTTACATTTTTAAAACTTTATTGAAATGTCATTAAATTACATTCTATTCATCCTTATGCTCTGCAGTATGTTGCATTGTGGTGTATTGCGTGGCAACATGCTGCGTTACTTAACACTGTATCATGCCCTTCTTAATAGGACATAAGGAAAATTGGTTTGTCTATGCATTGGGCTAAGCTGTGTGACTGGGCCTTAAGAAGTGTAAACTTCTGAGCAGCTCCTTGTATTCTAGCAGACTCCTCCCCCTTCTCCTAAGCCCAGTCACATGACTGACGTCACACTGTCTCTGACTGATCGGTGCCATGTTTTGTGGTATGAAGGCCTGGTTCTCCCAGAGCGTAGACAGCAGCCTGATCAATATTTGGGGTTAGAGAATACGTCTCTTATGTTCTACTTTACAGCATGTTATTGTATAGTGCCATACAGGAAAGCTGCACTGCTGACCTCTTTAAATGCAAAAGACTCCTGCTCACAGGAATTCCTCTCCCAATTAACAATAAACTGTTATTAATTAAAATAAAACACCTTTTAATATTATGTAAGACTGATTAACTAGGCTAAAAGTAAAGACTAAAAGTAATAGCAAGTAGTCTAATTCGATAGGCCAGTGCCAAGGGCAGAGCTGGAGTGCAAAGCTCAGTATCCATAGCAACCAGATTCATAACTGAAGTCAGCTCATGGACAGATGAACGCTGGCTGCTGTGTATTTGCAATGCCCACATCACTACTGAGTGATACAATAAATGGTGAGTAGGGGGACTTGACCTTCATAATATTGCTGGATGATTATGTAGCCCCTACCACCTTCAGTGGAGTGGCTATTAGAAATTTAGCATTGCTAATGCTGTAATCAGTCTGGCTGATTTGTAGTGGGTTATTATCTGGTTAATTCCAGATGTTCTGCTGTTGATTGTACTCACCTGAGTGGGGTCGGGTGTGCCCTGCTACAGTGTGGGGCAGTCAATAGGGGAACATTAGGAGTGTCTATGCCTCACCAGCTATTCACTAGGAGTTTCATGGATAGTGGTGCATGCTGAGGGAGTGCATAAATACTCAGGGATTGCCATGTGCTCAAGGGTAGTCCGCCCCCCAGGCCTGGCCAGGGAGGTGTTATGTACAATGATGGAGAGGATGACCAGGCCTTAAACCTTAAGGGGGCCACATGTGGACCCATGTGGGGTCTGGAACTATCTGGGAGGAGAACCAGATGAGCCCTATGACTGTTGGAGGTACCAGGAGCTGATTAGACCTCAGGAACAAGTATGGTGTCTCTCCCATGGAAGATCTCATGCACATCCCTATTCAGCTGTTGCTCTATTACCCAGTGTCAGCCTGTTCTACTGATAATTCTGCACTGCGGACGCCTGAAGAGATTGGTGAGTCTGGAGTCTGTGCTATATTTGCCATGGATGTCTGAAGCCCTATACCTTCTCTCCCGGTTCTGCTGTTCTGCAATAAAGCAATTAAAAAGGCACTTAAAGGGACTGATGCACAATTTGGCAATCGCAGGTCCCTTCGCTGACTAAGGATCTGCCCCTGAGAGTGAAATGTCAGCCCTCACTACCCTCTGGCCTCTGGAGGACAAAGGGGTGCCACATTTACATTTATCAAACAGTCTGTCAATCCCCTTTTCACCCCACATCATTGCGTCCTGTCCTAGGCCTGGACATTGATGGTAAATGTGAACCTATATGCATAAATATTGCCTCAGTCCATGCATTTTTGTTTTACCTTACAGAATCGGAAGGCGGTGTTATTACAACTCATCACCATGCTTATTACCTCTTCAGCAGTAATGCAGCCCACCGTGATACCCAGAGGTATGAACAACCAAAAATGGTATTTGAAAGGAATTTTTAATGCAATATCCATCAAGCCCTCAGCCTTCTATTTTTAGCACTCTGGTGAAACATGCATTTGAATTGCATGTCCCAAAGTTATTGTTTACATAACCAAGGAGCTTACACAGTTGAATCAGGTAGGATTAAAACCTAAGTCCACCTTACTGTATTGCAGAGTCCTTCTCCATGCAGGCTGTTTTTTATTTGGCTCTGCCCAACACAGCTTTGGCAGGATCTGTGAGAGGAGATAATACAAGTCCCATCAGTCATTGTGGCAGAGGCACTTGTAGTTCTCAATGGAATACAAGTGGAGTGACATCGCTGCATATGTAGTCCACTTATTCTTCCTTCATTCAGACATGGACGGGAGGAAACGTCTGTAGGAACCAGAGCACTGCACCCATGATCCACTGATCGCAGTTACAATGCTTTACTGGCTCCAATGCAAAAAAAAATAAAAATAAATACACATTTTTTTCTTGCATGAGGAAGTTTTTTCTAAAAGCTGGAATTTCCCTTTAAGTTGTCAACAAGTATGTCAAATGGCCTGACTAGATGTATCTGACATTTCTAAACTAAGCATACATGTAGCAATAAATGATAGATCTAGCACAGATTCTATCGTATCATACAATCTTTTGCTCAAAAAATGACAAAGGCAAAGACTGAATTCTAATCTAAAACACTTTACTAGGTGATTTTCTGGTTTGGTTACTCTGCAGATTAAATAGAAATAAATAAAAATCTTTCTTACACTTTCTTGAAAGCAAAACAAAAATATTTTGGGCATTCGTTTGGGCAGATTATTGTCAATACCTAAAGGTCAATATTTTGACGTAACACTAAATTTGACCATCAGATGGTGCCAAGGTACAACCTTGTTTAGTCTCACTACGTTTTGTGTTTCCTTCACACAACATACCTAAAATATATTTCTAAAAAAAAATGTTTACCATTCTAGTTGTTTCTTTCAAGCAGGATTATACAAAGGACTCCATAAGCAACTTTTACTGCATTAAAAGACGACAATGTACCAAAGGGACAGACTAGAGGGACTAGACCGAGAGGCAGGACATTAACATACAATGCCTTGAGGTCTTTAGCACTTTGTTAGGACAGATAGTACTGCACATCTAAGTAACAACTAGGTTACTTATGACAAACATACCTCCCCAGTCCCCTCATAAAGTTTACAGAGAAACAGGGTAATTACATTTGATCAGATACGGAGTAAAGAAGGGGCTGTGGAATGGGAGTGAGGGGGTGAGTCTCAGAGGTAAGTGGTCATAAAACTGTTTGATATTGATTTAGAAAAATAGAGGTCCACATTTACCCTCTTATCTCTTGTTTCAGACAGAACTATCATTTGTAGTTCAAAGGTTTGCTTTTTCTAAGTACATTTTTATTAGCTTTTCTTCCCCATATGTCTGTATGATGAAAAAACTGTCATTAAAGCGATAGCATATATATGGCTTTTGTTGTATGCTGTCAAGGCATTTGTCTTCCAGGTTTGCCTTAAATAAGTTAGCATTTTGGTGTGCTACATTTGTTCCCCATGGTCCCTGTATGTGTTATAAAGTAGTCACCGCTCCAAGCTCACTCCTGTGATAGACTGCAATCTCAGGGTTAGTTTACTAATTTGTATTGAGATCGCAGGAGTGAGCTTGGAGCAGTGATTACTTTATAACACACACAGGGACCATGGAGAACAAAAGTAACCACCCTCCAGAAGGAAGGACAGTGTCAGCACCAATTCAGCGATGATTTGAGGATCTACAGCTGAGTGATGCACAAATGAGTTAAAGTATTGGTAATAGTTAAAAGAGAACTATGGGGTAAGTGTTTTTCTCCATAGTTCTCTTAAGGGTCACGGGAGGACATATACTAGCGTCCTCGCGTGACCCAAAGCTCAGTATATCACGTATATCTTGTTACAGCTTGCTGTATACTGAGACCGACATTACTGTCGAGATCCACCCAGCTGCGTGAGTGACAGCAGGCTGTACCCGCCCCCTCCCCCGCCCCCTCCCCTCTCAGGGGGGGAATCCCTGAGAGGAGCCGTGAGTGACAGTCACGGCTCTTTGCAGGGAGATGATCGAGAACTGAGCGAGCGACTGTATACGTTTGCTCACTTCCCCATCTATTGAGCCGACATGTGACAGTTTCATTGTCACACGTCGGCTCGACCTATGAGGATGAGTGATTTTCACTCACCTCATAGTTCTGCTTTAAGGTACCTGCAAAAGACCAATTGGTTCCCACTATATCAACTTCATTGAAGGGTCCAGATGGAAAACATACTATTAATTAATAGTCAAAAAGAACCATGACCCTTGTATTTTCATAAAAAAGTATAAATGCTTTATTCAACAACCCAAAATCCCTCAAACACATATAAACGTATATATACAATTCTTAAAAATATATCAATCCCTGTAGGCCCCCCCACATAAAAGACAAAACAAACCAGAAGATAGACAGTTTGGCCCAATGTGCATTCCTAATAATTAATAGTTAAGGTACTTGAATGTATTTTTAAGATTTAACTCCTGAGTTTAGTGTCACTTAGAAAATCATGTGGACAGACCCAGAAGGACATACAGTATGTATAGACAGGCTGGTTGGCTTTTATGTTCAATTGGATTAGTGTTAATGAAACTCATTGACATTGGAAGACTGACAGGCAGACATTAAATGAAAACAATTAAAGCCAAATTCTGGGCAGGAGGACAGCATCAAATATATAATTAGTAGTTGGAATTAGAGAGACCTTCACAGGCCAGATTATTCAGACTGCCTCCAGCATCCTCAAAACAACTTTCTTCACTCACCCAATTATTACAGCTCCCGCTGCACTTCTGGGCCACTGTTTAACAGGGTTATTCACAGAAGGGTGAAGAGTATGGAGAAGGCAGGAGAAGTGAACAATCTAGGACAACATAGCTGATTTGGAAAAATTCTCCAATTCAATATGACAATATGTTGTCCTAGATTGCTCACTTCTCCTGCCTTCTCCAAACTCCTCACCCTTTTGTGAATAAACCTGTTCGTGTTAACGATAGGGGATATTATCCTAATGATGGGCATATTGATTTGATTTTGGGAGATATTATATTGTCTTATAATTAAATGGTTGTACCTGTTTCTTGTGATCTAGTAATAGTAATTTATTAGTCTCTAATTTACTTGCTTCCACTCTCCACCTGTAAACTGAAAATAGGAAGAGATCAAAATGTCTTGCTCTATTGCTATTCCACTCTCCAATGAGAGCTGGCTTAGTAGCCTATAACATAATGGTGGGTGGGCCTAACTTCACAATGGTGCTTATCTCAGAAGTTACAGCCATGAAGACTGGGTATACCAAGGGCTCCCTGAATGTACAAAGAAACTTTGGAAGCAGACCTAAAATATTTTTTTTTTATTTAGATCTACTGATCCCCAGCTGACATACAAAATGGCTGCCAGACCCGCTTTCCCCAAATATGTACCTCTGTCCTGGCGTAGGTTTATCCCCTCACATCAACGTGCCTTTGTTAGCTGTGGCTGAGGATGGGTTCTGTATGTGAGGGAAAGACTCTGGTTGGATGCTGAGCAAAGAAAAGATTTTGCCTCAGACAGATATGGTACTTCACTATAGCTAACAGATGGAAATGTAGGTAAAAAGGCAGGTGAAGGGACTCTGAGGGGCCCACTCCGGGACAGAGATATGCACTTGGGGAAGTTGGGCAACAGATTTTCTAATGGTATCTGCAAGGATGTCGGTTTTTGACCTTAGATCTAGCAGGCATCTCATGGAGCCTCTTATTACATATGTTCCTGTGTACCGCTAACCATTACAGTGGTGAGCATTGTTAATGATGATTGTACAATTACGTGAGATACTATATTTCTTTTCATTTACCAATATGGTGCTAATATGAATATGAAAATATTTATTTCAGAATATATAACAGCCTGGATTATGTTGAAAACAAGACTACCGTCTTCCACGCCAGCTTCCTAAAAACCAGTGCCAGATCTAAAGCTAATCATCTGTTGGCCCTTGGACATTTTATCCTCCCTCCAGCTTGTCTTCAGGAAGGTTGGTATAAATTAATATAGTGTATAAGACACTCTCCTGTCAGTTCGAATTAGAAATCTGTCAGGAAATATTATTCAGACTGACTTAATTTGTATGTAACAGAAATCAGAAGAAAAATTGGCAGCTTTATCTGGGAGCAGGATGATACGCTACAGAAGAATCAGGTCAGTATAGAACTAAAGAGTCTTATAACAGAAAGTTGTAACGTCCTTGCCTGCCGCGAGCCATCTGCGTTCCAACGTGGAATGCATCGGCCGCGTCACGCAGGCCGCTTCCCTCTCAGAGGGGGAGGTTCCCTGCTCTCCACCGTGGTTCGCGGAAGTGACGTCACGGCCGGTATCACTTCCGCGTTCGCGGATTATAAATAGCTCTTGTGAACGCTATGGAAGCGTTCCACTATTGAGCTTTATGCCCTACAGATGCCAGGAGCCTCAAGGACCTCTATCACTGCTGGATCTCGTGTTTCCTCTATCCTGCCTGCTGCCAACTGCAAGTATTGTACTGGAGGGGGATTGGCACTTATCTTGCTGGACTGTTTGTCACTCTAACCTCTCTGGCACAGGGTCCACTGCTAGATGCTCCAACATTGGCTTCATCATTTATTCCTGTTACCATTTGAGCCCCAGCTCTACCCTGCATTAGACCTGTTATCTAGTTCCTCGTATCTACCTTTGTGTACCCTGCCCCAGGGAGTTATGAACTGAGATACCACTACCTGGTCCATACCTACACTCTTCATTTGTGGCAGATGATGCAAGAACCCCTCACTCTCCGTTAAGATTGAGAGAGACGCCTGGGGTTCGAGCCTGATTGCCATACCTAACCTTAGCCTCTATTCCGCAGCTGTGATCCATTCACCTGTCCCAGAACCCAGGCGCATTACAAAAGTATTCCAGTATATAATTTAAAGTGAAACTAAAGTCTGCTTATACTCACTTCCCCTCCAGCATTGCAAAAGTTAATTCATCCTGCTATGAGGCATGCGCAGCTCAATGTACATTGTACATAGGTCTGTGAGCAGGCAGGTTTTATTGTAGAAGAGATACAGTATGCCCCTTCTACAATAAAGCTAGTGTGTAAAATGTTTTCAGTAACTAAAATGCCGCTTTAGGGGCTCATCTATAAAGCAATAGTATGGCCCAACTGCGGATATACTGCTCCTTTTTCTATTAGAAGCTAAAGGACTTTTATCAAGCACTGCTCTGTGCTTTATAAGTATGCCTTGCACTTTGCTTGTTTCATTCCTTTGAAGCAAAAGAAGCTCCATTCATTTTAGTGAATGAGGGGGAAATGTGCTGGAAAGTGAAGGAAGCCGGTCACATGATGTAAAGCAGGTTAATATGTCAGCAGTGGCGTAACAATCGCCATAGCGAGCCAGGCGGCCGCTATGGGGCCCGAGGCACAGGGGGGCCTAGCCAGATGCCGAGTGGACCTGGGGGGCCTGGGTCGCTATGGCATCCTCTGCTGGTGGCTGTCATCGGCGGCTCTGAAGAAGAATGCGCTGCTATTCAGATCACTGACCGTAATCTGTGCAGCAGCGTGTTCGTCTCCAGCGCCGCTGCTGAGTCAAATAGAGCCAGCAGCGGCAGTGAAGGAGGCCGGATCTGGCAGGGGAGGAGGAGGCGGGGCCCGTGGTCGACAGCAGGGGAGGAGGTGGGGCCTGGTGACGGAGAAGGAGGAGGAGGCGGGGCCCATCAGCGAGCGTGGAGGAAGAGGAGGCGGACAGGTAAGGAGTGCGACCAGCCAACCTGAGGGTGACCCTGCAGAGTTCACCATAGAGAGGGTCACCCTCAAGTGGGCTGTGTGGGATCTCAAGTGGGCTCTGCAAGGGGCATAACTAGAAATCACAGGGCCCCATATAAAATTTTGCTATGGGGCCCTGTGATTTCTAGTTACGCCCCAGTATGTCAGCCCTTTTTTCATCAAGTGTTCTCTGCAGCCTTATGCAGAGAACACCCCGCAGGACATCACTAGCTCAGAACTGTACTCTGTTTTTATAAATAAAATAAATAAAATGGAAATGTCAATTCAGTTGGGATTATTTCCAGCGATGCTTTGCAGTGCTGTGGAGAGTGCAAACCGCAGATCTTTAGTAATAGACTTCTAATTTCTCCTCATGGGTCAGTTACGGTAGAAAAAAAGCCAAAGACTGGAGGAAACTAAAATGGAGGAGCTGCACTTATCTGGTTGCTGTGGGTTTTACAATTTTCTCTAATTGTAACACACAAGGTGCATTACTTAAAGGGTATGTGAAGTCATTTTCTTCCTTTGGATAGAGAAGGGCAGTACTGAAACATCTAGAAAATTCACACTCTCTATTCTGTCACAAGGACAGAAAATGAGTCAGGAATAGAAAGAAAACCTTCCAAAGAGGACACTTGTTCAGGTGACAACTGTAACAGAGGATTTCCTTTACATCTCATACTTCTTGTTGTGTTTTGAGAAAATGAAGGAAACTATCTGTAGTGAGACACTTGTCAGTGGTATTAACCAGTACCTACTCTATCCAAAAAAGCTTTGGCTTTAGATATATTATACTGCTAACCAACGTTCATGTATTGGTTATTATGTATTTGGTTAACCACATTTTAAGAAATAGTAATTTAGGAAAAAATAATGAAGGTAAAGGGAATAACTGTAAAATCTTTTTGAACTGCATGAGAATAGGGTTTTCCTGGTGTAGTTTCTAAACTTTATTGCTACTATTTTATTATTTTCTTAAAACAAGTGGTCAGAAAAGTTTAAGAAAAACAGTTTATACTGCAGTTATACTGCAGACAGTCCTAGCAGTGATCTTGTGTTTAAAGTACATATTCAGGGTTTACCAAACATTGTGCCAGCCCCTTCAGTACAGACAAATGGTTGCCTCCCACAGGTCCATACTGTAATGCGCACGTGTATACAGTAAGTGGTCGGAGAAAATAGCGGACCAGTGTAACTTCACTTATAGCAGCCCCAAGTCCCATAAGGGAAGAAGGCCCTTTGTTACAAAGGTAGGACTAGGAGTATCCGTGGCACAGGGGGATACAGATGTCTGCAAAGGATGGCATGGAGGGGACTTGCAGAGGTATTGGTACAGGCAACAGGATGAGACAAAGTCCATAAAATAGGAAAAGGGTCAGTCCAGGTAGCAGACAGATGTGGTCAAAAAACAGGCAGAGGAACAGTCCAGGGAGCAGACAGAAACATGGTTAGTTAACATGCAAAGGATCGATCCAGGTGGCAAACAGAGACGTGGTCAGTAAACAGGCAGGGTGGCGATCCAAGGAGCAGGCAGAAACATGGTCAGAAAACAGGCAAAGGGTCAGTACAGGCATGGCAGCTAGTCAGGCACTTAGGTAAAAAGGGTCAGTCCATGCAGCAGACAGATGTGGTCAAAAAACAGGCAGAGGAACAGTCCAGGGAGCAGACAGAAACTTGGTCAGAAAACAGGCAAAGGGTCAGTACAGTGATGGCAGCTAGTCATACACTTAGGCAAATATATAACAAGTGTCGGGCACATGGTCAGTCCTTCTATTGCTTGCATCCTGCCACACCTGCTACTAAGAGTCCTTTTGTCCCTCCTTAAGGGGAGGGCAATGTAAAGATGCAATCTTGCATCTCATGGTCTGCCCACCTCCCACTGCACTTCTGGTGACTGGAGAGGTGACTACACTTTGGACTCCACCCTGGCTCCCCATTAGCCACTACCCCCTGCATTCAGGATCTTTTGGCTCCCCCTACTGACTCCTCCCTTTAGCCTTAATTGATCTTTCCCTTCTAAGGTGCCTGATTTAAACTTCACTGACCCTGTGCCCAATGCTTGTTATAGGGTCTGACCATGTTTCTGCTTGCTCTCCAGATCGACCTTCTGCCTGTTTACTGACCAAGCCTGCAAGCTTTTTAAAAAACAATTGACACTATAATCTTAAAAAATATTTTTGGGTGGCAATGATGCATTTTTTTAGGGTTTACATACACTTTAAAGTAAACTTGCACAAAGAGCATTATAGAGGCTGCCTCAGTCAGGCTTCATTATTTACTGATCCAGGACCAGCAGACAGAGTGAAATCAGATCTGCTGGTCTGCATACTTTTTCCATGTCCAGGACTCATAAAGTACTGAAGGTGATACATTGGCAACCCCCCCTTCCACCCCAAAAAACAAACAAAAACATGCATCTACCAAGTTCAGAAAGAGATCAGCTATGGCAGCTACCATATGGCTTTTTTAATATTTAAACACGACGACTCTAATGCAATATGTCATTTAAAGTACCTCTCTTGTTTGTCTTCTCAGTTTCTTAGTTGGTATAATCTCAAGCATGTATTCTGTGGTTGCAGTTATCTATACTACAATTAAAATATACTGTATATACCTGTTGGTTTTAGGAGGTTAAAACCCCTTTTGGTGCTAAAGAGAATGATCACAGGAATCCAGAATGTGATTTAAGGTAGGGAACAACAGTTAAAGTAAACCTGTTAAGAGGGAAATATAAAGATTGCCATTGTTGACTTCTGAAAATGCTGCATGTCTGGCTCTTTGTGGACTCATTATTTCAATACCTTCCATGTAACAGACCTGTAACAAGTATGCAGATCAGAAAAGTTTGAAATCTGAAGCTGCATACTTGATTCAAGTCAGTGACTAAAAGTATAGAAACAAGCAGGTCCACCTGACAACCAGCATATACCTCAGGAAAATATAATTTAAAATTGAACTCCAGGAAGATATAAATGGCACAAATTATTGCAGCTTTGTATTTAATAATACATCAATAAATGTATTTTTTTATATGCAAGAAGTGTAAGTACCTGAGTTTGACTCGTTATCAGCCTCTTGCAGTTCCTATATAGCATAGTTCACAATGGAGGAGGAGGAAGCAGCACAAGAACCATGGTGATAGGAGGAGAGTGCAGAGTGACATAGAGATAATTCAGATGAGCATCAGTCTGCTGCTTCTCTTTTCACCGTCCATTCGCAGGCTGGGGGAAGGACATTTACTTCTGTGACCCAAAACGCAGAATATAGCGGGCTGTTGTCTGCTATACGCTGCAGCCGGAAAAGATACAGGCAATATTGTCAGGATCCACCTCCATGCCTGATTGACAGCTGGTTCTGACTCTCTATAGCCAGAGCCAGCTGTGCCCGCCTTTTCCCCTGGCTATCCCTCCAATCAATGCTGGAGGAACAAAGAGGGCAATGGGGAATCCCTGCATGGAGCAGTGACTGACAGTCACCGCTCCTGCAAGGAGAAGATTGTGAACTGAAAGATCAGCGGTATGCGATCACTCAGTTCTCGATTAATAGAGCCGATGTGTGACAGCTTCAGTGTCACACATCAGCTCTAACTATGGTGATGAGTGTATGTCACTCATCCCATAGTTCTCATTCTACTGCAGGAGAAAAAAAATAAGGATTCCAGCCCTGCCTGGAAGGACTGTGCTGTATGGTCAGTCTTAGAACTGTCTGAACAGAAACACAAATACTTAAGCAGGTAAAACAGCTCCCTTATATGCGTTTCATCAATGTATTTATATGTTTGCCTTGTGTTCAGCTTCAAGCATTTATAGTTTAGAGCCATTTTAATGCAAATGTAATGCAGAAAAAAATATTATTTCCCATGATCCTCTGCCAATGCATCTTCTGGAAGCATGGTGTGCAGAGTGGTTGAGTTCTGACTAAGGAAGGCTGAACAAAACAATGAGACAGGTATATCAAATCTCTATAGGTACATTATATCAGGCCAGCCATATTAATTTGCTTTTTGTGTTTTTATTTAATATTTTTGTTTTTACAACATTAATATAAACGGTTTTACAAGTCATTATTTCTGAGAGGGTGTAGACAGGATTCACAAAGCATTAAGGGTTTTCTAAAAGAGAAAGCACAGCATGTGTACATTTCAGCTTGAGCTATTGAGCTCTGTATATGAAAGGAATGTTTTAAGCAAAGCGGGTAATGATAACCTGGAACGCATGTGAAAAGGAGCCCATATACAATATTGTATATTCATCTGACAACAAAGACAGAACTATTTGTAGATTGTTTTTGGACTTGACCAAAATCAATAAAGACATTACATGTAAAACCTTTATATATTCCCTTTAACCTGGTGGAAAATGGACTGTAAGAACTTTATATACATTTCATATGAAGGTAAATTTAGTGAACTTGACTTAAACAATGACTCATGGGTAGCACTTGTGTGTCACCTAAATGGTCAGTCCACCCAAAACTAATACTGCAGCTTTTTCATAGATGGTGAATAGATAAACCTATTTATCAGGAATGTTGGTGATGTGCTGTGTGCACTTGTGTCTCTATGTCTATACACCAGTCAGGGCTATTTCAAGTGACTACCAGTCTCAGAGTTTCATAATGATTAGTTGTATCTGATTGTCACACAGCAGACCTCTCCTCTACTATGCATAGACCTACAGTATGTAGAATATACTCATGATAGTGACATTTTCTGTTATGGTGTAGGAAGAAGGACTTGACATCTGATAGTGGATCCTCTGATGATGGGATACAACATACCCTTCAGAATTATCCGGGAAATAATATTCAGACAGGTACAATACTTAAAGGGGTCTTATTCGTCCAGGGAAACTGCAGTTACAATCGTTCTGTGCAGATGTTGTGACAATGGGACCCAAAAAAATGTTCTTAGTGTCATTTCTCTTCTGGTCAAATGTTCTTCATTAGATTAAAACAAAACTATGGGGTAAGTGTTTTTCCCCATAGTTCTCTTAAGGGTCACGGGAGGACATATGCTAGCATCCTCCAGTGACCCAAAGCTCAGTATATAGCGAGCTACAGTTCGCGGCATACTGAGACCGCCGCAGCCGGGACGGATCCCGACATTACTGTCAAGATCCACCCAGCTACGTGAGTGACAGCAGGCTCTGCCTATGTAGAGGCAGAGACAGCTGTACCTGCCCCCTCCCCCGCCCGTTCCTCCAGTCAGAGCTGGAGGATCAGAGCGGGGAGGGTGGAATCCCTGCGGGGAGCCATGACTGACAGTCACTGCTCTCTGTAGGGAGATGATAGAGAAGTGAGCCAGCGACGGTATATGTTCGCTCACTTCCCGATCTATTGAGCCGGCGTGTGAAAGTTTCATTGTCACACGTCGGCTCGAACTATGAGGATGAGTGATTTTCACTCAACTCATAGTTCTCCTTTAATTCATGCAGAGCAGGGTGAACAGCATGGAAGGGGAAATACCACATTATGGCCACTAGAGCTAGAGCAGAGAATTATAGGAAATAAAGACATGTTAGTAAAGAGATACAATACAAGAGAACACTGGAGAGAATAAGCATATAAATGTAACCATTGCTATCCCCGTAATATCAATGGTTACATTCATATGCTTATTCTTTCCATTGGTCTCTTGAATTGTAACATTGTATCTCCTTACTAACATGTATTTATTTCCACAGCTCCATCTAGTGGCCTTAATACGGGATTTTCTCCAATCACACTCTGTTCTGTATGGCTATACCTATTTAAGAACATTCGACCAGAAGAGAAATTGCACTAAGAATGTTCGTCTTTGCCCCATTCTCACATCAGCTGATTAACTCACACAGAGTCAATATTTATGCAGTTTTGCTGGACAAAGAGGCTGTGTGATTTTTTTGATAAACATATACCAAAGTGTTGCATTTTGTTATGCATAATATTTTGTTTTGTAAAGGATGAAAAAGGTTTTTTTTTTGCCTTACTGTTGATTATACATGTAGCTATAAATTATGTTACTCTACCAAATGTATATGTGTGCTTTAACCCTTTTGTTGCCACCAACACATGCCATACGTTGGCAGCAGTGGGTCCCTGTAAACAGACTCCCACGGCTCTATGTTATATTCTTCAGGGTCTGTGCTTTCAGGAAATATATCATTCTAGTGGTTTTAAGGAATTTTCAGGCCTAAAATGTAGATTTAAAGTATGGAAAAAACGAAAAAAAGGCTCTGGCAGCGTAACACCCCTGCAGCATAAACCAGTGATTTGCATGTCTCAATTCCACTTCTTTTTTGGATTTGTAATGGAAGTATGCTTTACAACAAGCTTTTCATTTCTTTAGACCTTCTTGACAGCAGAGCCTCAATTCACAAAGCTTTAACACAAAGATAAGTACCTTTATTTCAGCTATGTGACACATTGTACTCAGTGAAAAATAACTCCTTCATTTTTTACAGTAATTATCCTTATCCTGGTGTGTAAGCTTTGTGAATTGGGCCTCATATATGTTTATTATAGCTTATTTACACCAATGCATTGTATTGTAGTACATTAGGAAAATGTCTGGCAAGATGCATTTTGGGTGTGCAGCTTGCCATTCATAGAGTCCTTCACTAAAGCTGGGTATACACGATGATATTTTCTTCGTTCAATCTGCGGGCTGAACAAAGAAAATATAATAGATTTCTCCATCAACACTTATGAGTGTGGACGGAGGAATCACCTGCTTTCAGTGGCCCCCTGTTTGCAACTGATTGGTTGCAAGCTCTATTCGGCCAAATATTTTCCAATCTGCTCCTTCGATCAGCTGATCGAAGGATGCCGGGTTGAAGGGTGCCGAAAGGGGCACTCACTATGCAAATTTCGGCTGGTTCATCAAGAACTGAACGATTTTCACACACTTAAGGCTACACACTATGCATCAAAGTGTATGTTCTAATGTGAACAAGCCCTAAAGCCAACCTCACCACAACTTGCCTTATTAAACTTTCCTGGCTGTGATTAAAGTTATACAAACAGTTTGAAAGTCTTTCACTCTCAGCAGCACACATGTAGGTGGGAATTAAGTCAGGACTGAAAATCATGACAATTCCCAATTAACACTCTGGAGTCCCGATCATTAAGTGTAAATACAGTACTAAAATTTTACAAAAAATACACTGCTTGTGTGTATTGGAAAGAAAGTATTTTATATCTTTATAGTGTATAAAGTTGTGTTATTAGATCCAGTATTTTATCAAGCCTGACAAAGCATACTAATTTGTATTCAAAGTTTGCATTTTTTTAGTCTGATGGGCTAGTCACCAAATGGTTCTGCAGAGCTCATCCCCGAAGGAGCAGATAAAATATGCCTGGGACCTGATCATCAATTATCCTGTCTAGGGGATTTTTAGCAACTGGCTGCCCCACTATCATTGACCGCCCTTCTGCTAGTGACCAACAGAGCTGATATCCAGACCAGAAGTATGATGCTGAGGAACGTAATTAACATATTCACTCTGGGAGAAAGGGTATAGAGGCCTAGACATCCAGGGTAGAACAGACACAGACTCCAAACTCACGAGTCCCTTTTAGCACTCCAGTGTGGGTCAATAGGAACACCATTTGGCACTGGGTATTTGAGAAGCCACTGAATAGGGGTGGGTGGGAGATCTTCAATTGGAGAGACACCAGACTTGCTCCTGAGGTCCATTCCAATCCAGGTACCTCCAGCACCCATCATCTTCCCTGGTTCTCCTCCTCAATCAGTATCAAAGGCTCCGAGCTTAAGGCCTAACAGAGCATTTCCCACACTAAAGTATTCCCCAGGATATCCATGGCTGTAACCAGACTAGACTGAGCCCATGGCAATTCCCTGGAGTATATATTCCCTATCCCAGCATGCAACACTGGTTGTGAGAGCCCCAGTGATTGGCTGGTGAACTGCACACACACTCACAGTGTCCCTCATTGGCTGTCCCACACTGCAGCAGAGTTACACTCCACTCAGGCAGGTACATTCTATGTCAGAACACCTGGAATTAACCAGATAAATGCCACCTATAATTCAGCCAGACTGACTACAGCTCTGGCAATCACTAACTTTCTAGTAGCCACCTCACAAACGGTGATGGGGACTATACTTCCTTTAACGTTAATGGTATATTAAACATATGACACAATTTTAGAGTATAAAGCTGGCCATACACTTTTAGACATTTCAGCCAATGTACAGGAATCAGCTGAAATCCCAACAGTGGGTGGCTCAACAAAATTCCATTATGCCAACAAATTTTTTTGAAGGAGGCAAGCCAAAAATTGACGTTTATACAGTACATTGATTGCTACCGATCAGCTGCAGTGACTGCTTGTGTATTCCGACAGTCGCGGGCGTTGGCTGTCAGAATATCTATTGGGGGGAGGGATTTGTCAATTTACCGTGTTGAGTGTGGATGCAGGAATATGTTAGGTTTCTTTTGAAATCTATTAGTGTATATGGCCAGCTTAACTCCAACCAAAACTGAGGTCTAAAGCACAGTGGGCCATGCACTGAGCACTGCCAGGCAATGTATTGAGCACTAGGGGTCTATATAATCATTCAAGATAATATACTTTTGGTGTACTAAGTAAATAATATCTCTTATAGGTTATATTTCCATTGATCAGCTGAAGAAATTCCCAGGAGAGCTGCATGATTTTAGACCTGACTCTTCAGAATATTTAGTTTTTTGTGTTAAAGCTCCAAGTTACAAATGTTAAGGGATAGAAATGCTTAAATATTATGTTACCATGTTTTAAATACTTTAAGTAATATTGTTACATTTCATTCATTCATATATCAATAATTGAATTTCTGTACAAAAATTTAAAATGTGATTGAACTTCAAATGACAGTTTCACGCTTTTTGGATTACTAAAAAAAAAATCTTGTTCCTCTACATTAAAAATTCAACACCGAGAGGTAGAGCAGCTTGAAACAGCCATGGAAATTGGGTTTGGCTATTTAGAGGTACTGAGATCTCATCACGCATCCCTGGTGTTCAAGGGATAGGCATATTTTCATACAAAGGGGCATTTTTCCACTGCCTCCTTCCCACTGCTGTGCTAAATTAGCCCCTCCCTGCAATCCTGCCCATGACCTGCAATGTTTAATTACATCCTGCCAGCAAATCTTCAGGACTGCCTGCAAGGTTTTCTTTGGCCATTTCCCAATGCGCTTCTTGCCTGGGGAGATGGTCTTATAGAACCCTATAAGTGGGTGATTCAGCCTGATGAGAGAAAAGGAATACAGTGACACTAATAAATTAGTCACAGTGAAACAACTGTGTACATTTAGGTTGCATGAGCTTAACAACCATTTTTAAAAGTCTTTTACAGAAGTTTTACAAGTGTAAGCATTCTACACTGCTGCACTGTATTACTGTACTGTACTACTATGTACTATGTGCTGATTGCCCCTTGTTGTGGCCACATTGTTGCCCCATTAATCCAGATTTAATTGTTGCTATACCAGATTACCACCTGTCCCTGGCTGTGTGCTGTATTGTTGTCCTGTGACCCTGGACTTCACTGCTGCCTGGATTGTTGCCTTTTGACCCTGGACCCAAGCATTGCTGTACCAGTTGTTTGCCTGTACCTTGCAGTGCCCAGTTTGTTGCACTGTGACCCTGGAATTCATCTCTGCTGCAGCATATTGCTGCCTGTCCCTTGCTGTGCCCGGATGGCTGGCCTGTGACCCTGGACTTAATCTTTGCAGTACTCTATTGCTGCCTTTCCCATGATTTGAAGTTTCACCCCTAGTGTACATGCAAGGGTTTCTACACATGCAGGCCTAGAGATAGCTCTATACTCCTTTAAAAGGATACAACTATGTATGCTACATTTGTTCATTGTAGCCTTCATCGAGGTTGTGTGTGTGTTTTTTATTTCTTGTGTTCTTGTTTCAGTCCTTGCTCTTGTTTTCCTGTCTCTGGAGTGTTCCTAGTTTGCCAGTCATAGCTTGGTTCCTGCTCCAGTGTTTTTGCCTTCAAGTTTTTTTTCACTTCTGGCTCCTGCCTGTTCGCAGCCTATGTAGTTCCTGTTACCTGCCCTTGCCTGCTATTGCTGATCTGTCTGGCACCTTGGATCTGTATGCTCGCTTGATCTGATCTTGGTAAAATGCCTCCTGCCCTAACCTTGGATTTGTTATCAACTACCATCCTGCTCTACCACTTTGCTGAAAAGATTAACTTTCTTTTCCCCCAGCAATGACATTGGATACTGACTCATTTAATTACTTATCCTGACTGAAGAACAGCCTCCTGTTTAGGTCTGATAATCCTGTACTTCTGATATCAGGTGATTAAATCCTAGGGGCACCCAAGTACCTGCAACGCACATAAAGAATCCTTGAACGGCGACTGCTAAAGGAGAAGCACGACATGCTTGTGGCCATCAGACTTTAACAGAGAACCCACCTGTACAGGAGGAAAATAGCCCCCTTATAGCCCCCACTAATTACATGGTAATTAGTGGGAGGAGGGCAACCACCTTACAATGATAATCTGTGGTGACTCAGTTGAATTGATCATTGTTGATAGCAATTAATTACCTGAACCAGAGAAGACGCTACAGTGGTCTCATACTGCTACCTCTGGCTGTGACAAGTGACATCAGCGCTGGGATTGTGCAGGCAATGTGGGACAGTAGACCAGTCCACTCAGGACAGCATGCATGCCAGCTTGTTGTCACTACACCAAAGGCACTGAGCATTAAACATAGAACATGTTCCCCAGGAGTCAGGGTCTTTCAACACCATTAATGTATGTATCTGTATTTTTTAAATTGTTTTTGATAATGTGGCACATTTACATTTTTTTACACATTTTAATTACACCTCGCACTTTGTAAATTTAGTGATAGTGGACCTCTGTTATGAAATACTACTACTAATAAATTCTACCTCCTAGCCCAAAGAAAATGTTAGGCTAGAATTTACAGTTTCTTTGTTGCTTCATCACACCATAATGAAAAATAAAAATAAATAGGCTGTAATGTTTACATTTAAATGCATTGTTGTTTTATTCATTATGAGATAGATTGTTTGCACCATACAGTGCAATGAGGGTCCCCAGCACGCTTTTAAGCTAGCCTGCAAGAAAACCTAACTAATCTGTTTTAGGTACCCAGGTCTAAAACAGAGGTTTCAGTTGCATCATATATGGTGCTGGAGAATCCATTCTTGAAATAATGATGTTTGCAAAGTTCTTCTGAAAACTGACAGTTAGATGCAACATCTTGCAGGTCTAATATTTGTCATGCTCCTGGCATGATTCTATTTGGCAAGGCTAAGCTTCTTCAGAATCTTCCTCACGTAAGGGTTGTCCTTTATAGATAGTCTCAGAGTTGAGCCTACCTGAGATGAAGGTAGGACATCCAATTTACGCTCAGATCCCGAAGACACTGTAGCAGAAGTGGTGCTAAAAGCTGGTTGTTTTCTCTGCTGAGAAGAGCAACCTAATAATTTAGCAGAAATCCACTTCAGAAAATGCTGGGTACTGGCATAGACACCTGGTTGCTGCTTTCGGGCGCAGCCAAAACCCCAGCTTGTGACACCAACCACGTAATATTTGGAAGTTTTTTTATCCAAACACATGAGTGGTCCTCCACTGTCTCCCTGTAATAAATTAGAAGAAAATAAAATGATGAATATATAATATTCACAGAACAATAGTAAGTACCAGCATCTAACCAGAGACCCCATAATATCTTTTGAGAATTCTGGGAAACTTGATCACCCTTTATTTGCTCATTAATTTCATATCAATTTGAGTCCAATTACTTGGACGGATATTGTTAATTTAAAAAAAATTATAGTTTTGGAACCTACCTGGCAGGTGTCAATTCCTCCCATGCGATGTCCAGCACACAGATTTTGCTTCTTGACACGGCCATTGTACCAGCCTGGGCTGTTACATGTCTCTCTGTCAATCAGTGAAACTTTGGCTTCCTGTAGTATATCTGCTGTTCTGGCAGCTATAAAGAAAAGAATACAAGATGTGAGAATATGCAAGGTATACAGCCATACTCTAGACATGACCATGTGGTTACTTTAAAGTAAACCTAGCATATGCCAAGCATGCGACCCTCTGTGTTTTCACAGCAGAGGGGAAGACACTCAGCACAGTGCAGTACCAGGGCTCGGAAGATTACTGAAAACATAAATCTAACTGTAATCCTCAACCCTAACTAATCACGTGCCTTTTCCATTCTGCATCGGGAGCTTCTGTGTCAAAGGTGAATTCCTGCAACATCAAACGCTCACAGCTTCAACAGACTCCAGTACAGTATAATAAGCATATAACTAACTTTTTGGGAATATGTAACCTCTGTGGAATGGATTTCAAAATTAAAGTGCAGTACTACTCACCTTTCTCAGACATGAGACCCCAGCCACTTACGTAGCATGAGGTCATGTCAGGGATGTCCATGGTGCTGCTGGGTAAACAGGCAGGTTGAACATAGCCACTGTATTTCACTGGCGAATCGAGCTTTATGAGAGCGATGTCATTGATTTTCAATCGCTCGGAATATCTTTTATGAAGGATGTATGACTTGATAGATCTTATCTGGACATCGCTGCTAGGTTGTGACAGTTGGTGACCCCCTATCACAAGCCTCCATTTGGACATAAAGCTGGAAAGAAAAATAAATAAAGATGAGCCGCTTTATATACATATAAATATATAGATAGATATATATCTGAAAACCTAATTTTGTAAATATATCATATTGCATTGTCTAGCTCCTAGTAATCCTAAGCCAAACCCGCATGTCGTTTCTCTATACGAGTTATCCTTACCTCAGATCCTTGAAGCAATGTGCGGCAGTTAGAACCCATTGGTCTGTTATTAGGGTTCCTCCACAAAAGTGTTTATACCCGATGAACTCTGGCATCTGTATGCTGACCATCCAGGGCCAGGCACCGGGCTGGGCCATAACTCCTCCAACAATCCGTGAAGCGCTACGCATAGGGCGTCCACCACAACCTAAAATAAGAAGAAAAAAAATATTCAGCAAATCATATTTACCTTCTACTTTAATGTTTACAGTCAGAAAACAAGTATAATGTCCAATTATTTCAACAGTAACTAACATTTGCTTATTTTACCTTCTAGTTCCAAATATTAAAAAATGTGACGAGCAGTAAAGTGCTCCAGTCCCATTCGCGGCCCTCCCCGCTACTTGCCCATTCACAAAATGCCTCAAAGCACTCTATCTACGTCATGCGACTACTGTATAATTTTCAAATGTCATTAGATTCAAATGAAAATAACTGTCACTTTTTAAAAGTAAGGATACTTATCCTGGTGTGTTAGCTCTGTGTAAATTACAATCGCATGGCTGCAACTAAAGATCCTTGTATTGTGTTAAAGCTTTATGAATTGAGCCTATGGAAACAAAGAAGTAATAATAACCTGGGGTTTACTTACTGTCAGAGATGTAGGCATGAGTTCCATCAATAAATGACGCAAATAAAATCAGCACAAATAGCATACATAAGCGATCCATCTCTCCTCTACTCTCCCAAATCACTTATCTGAGCCACTTCAGGCAGTGCAGCTGCATAAAAATACCCTCCCCCTCTCTCACTATGACATCATAGGCAGCTGCATAAATACCTCTCACTATGACATCACAGGCAATTCCCAAGCTCAAACAAGGGTCCTTTTTTTGTTTGTTCTTTTGCAATATTTGTTTTTATTGGTTTTCAAACAAGGTTTTCCAGTAAAGAAGTAACCATATTACATCAATTGAATGTAGTGCGTTATTTGTGGAGGATTTACATATTGCTAAAAGTACAAAATAATAGAAATGTGTAAAAATCAGCAATCATTCATAGAAGTGATACTAAAAACAACAATTATGTTCAAAACTGGGTAATATATCATTGGTAAACTATAAATTAAATACTTGTATAAGTCTATAAACTGCAATAAGAACTGAAGTGCAAAGTGCAAACCAACTAAATTCTGAATTATCAGTAAGCGGTAACCGACAGAGAGAGGGAGAGAGAGAGAGAGAGAACGAGCGAGAGACAGTTGACAGGGATGATTTAAAAATGACTGTCACACGACTGATAATAACAATCCTTATCCCTGTAGTTTTCTCTATTGTCTCTGCATATCTCTAAGTTCTGTTAATGAAAAAATATTGATGTGAGCGCTGCAATCACTACAGTGGATCACTTTTATTCCAACAATATTCTGATGAGTAGATATAGTGCCATGTGTGAAAAGTGTGCTGACCTGGCAACCAATCGTCTTTTTACTCCTTTGTCATTCCTATTATCCGCGGCACCTTATGAGAGAAAGAATCCATTATGATCTTTGGATTCTACTTCCTATATTGGATATGAGCTCACACATGACATTACCACACCAAGCTCACTGCTACTTCTCCCTATGTATAGCCCTAAGCTGCATATATCTCCTTTTCACAGTGTAACATAGGGAGTCACATGATCAGCATGCCATGATATTGTCATTGCAGGATCCAAGGATGCAAATCATATGAATGCATCACACATTTTTAAAACTACATTTTTGACATCTCCTATATTGAAGATGATGGAAGATATTGTGCATGTGTGCCTGCAATGATCATGTTGACCTAACTACATAAAACATAGGCATGTGTAAGTTAAAATGGCATAGTACAAATTGTTTTTGTGGAACTGAAAGTTTAACCCCTTAGAGACCAGACTGTTTTATGATTTTCTTACCATCAGTGACCAGGGCTGTTTTTATATTTCTGCGGTGTTTGTGTTTAGCTCTAATTTTCCACTTACTCATTTAGTGTACCCACACATATTATATACTGTTTTATCGCCATTAAATGGACTTTCTAAAGATACCATTATTTTCAGCATATCATATAATTTACCATAATAAACAATATAAAATATTATGAAAAAATAACAAAAGAAACTTTTTCTAACTTTGACCCCCAAAATCTGTTGCATATCTACATCCGCCAAAAAAGACCCCAGCTAAATAGTTTCTACATTTTGTCCTGAGTTTAGAAATACCCAATGTTCTCGATTTTTTTTTTTGGAGCACTTTGTACAAGTAGCACTTTGCTATTTCCAAACCATTTTTTTTCTTCAAAATTAGCAATAGTGACATTGTAACACTGATATCTGTCATGGATCCCAGAATAACCCCCTACATGTATATATTTTTTAAAAGGAGACAATCCAAGGTATTACATTTGGGATATTTTGACTCTTTTCATTTAACCATTTTACCACTAATCTATGCAAAATGTGAAAAAAAATTAAAAATCTTGGTGATTTTTTGACAGATTGGAATATAGGATTACATGTACTGAGAACTTTAAGGGATACTGCCAAATAACACCACAATATGTGTTCAGCAACATTTTCTGAGTACAGTACCACCCATGCATAGGTTTGTTGGGTTGTTTTGGGGGTGCAATGCCAAACTTCTGACATGTGCTTGTCATTTGTATGACTGTCATTTGAGTTGAAATTGAGAGTATCATTGGTAAACTATAAATACTTGTACAAGTCTATAAACTGCAATAAGAACTGAAGTGCAAAGTGCAAACCAACTAAATTCTGAATGATCAGTAAGCGGTAACCGACAGCGACAGAGAGAGGGAGAGAGAGAGAGAGAGAGAACGAGCGAGAGACAGTTGACAGTTGAGATTTAAAAATGACTGTCACACGACTGATAATAACAATCCTTATCCTTGTAGTTTTATCTATTTTCTCTGCATATCTCTAAGTTCTGTTAATGAGAAAATATTGATGTGAGCGCTGCAATCTCTACAGTGGATCACTTTTATTCCATCAATATACTGATGAGTAGATATAGGGCCATGTGTGAAAAGTGTGCTGACCAGGCAACCAATCGTCTTTTCACTCCTTTGTCATTCCTATTATCCGCAGCACCTTATGAAATAAAGAATCCATTATGATCTCTGGATTCTACTTCCTATATTGGATATTTGGATGCCAAAATGTGAAAAAAATAAAAAAAAAATGTTGGTGATTTTTTGACAGAGATTGGAATCTAAGAATATATGTACTGAGAACTTTAAGGGATACTGCCAAATAACACCACAATATGTGTTCAGCAACATTTTCTGAGTACAGTGATGCCACCCATGCATAGGTTTGTTGGGTTGTTTTGGGGGTGCAATGCCAAACTTCTGACATGTGCTTGTCATTTGTATGACTGTCATTTGAGTTGAAATTGAGAGTATTTCTAATGATAGGGCCTATCTTTAGTTTGGGGCTTATCGCATACCCCAGCTTTTTGACTGATTGCTTCTGATGCTCTGATACATTTCCAGCTGCTCTGCCGGTTAGTCCGGAAGTGATCGATTGCGGGGAACGATCACGAAGTGGCCTGGTAGTCATGGTCGGTATTGCAGGATGCCTCCACATCGAGGCATGCCTGCAATACCATTAGAGCGGCTGGAAGTGATCCCAATAAAATGACGTTCCAGTTACCTCTCGGGTCATTAAGTGACATCTTTTGCCGGAGGTACCTGGTATGTCTGTGGTTGGCAAGGGGTTAAAGTGTATTTGTACAAAAAAAACCTTTTTTTTTAGTTTTGGATAGAGTAGGGAGTGTCAGGCCTTTCAATTTTATATCCCCATTGGGGAGAATCATTCCTCCGTTTGCACTGGTGACCATTGTGACCAAAATAGAAAGTAAAGGGAAATCCAAAATGTTAGCGTTGTCCCCTGAACAAGAGGTAAGTACAAATCTTCTAATGAGAACACTTGTCCTGGTGATAACAATTTCTTACTTAGGCAGATTTCTGCTAACTTCCTGTTGCCTTTCTGAACAGGAAGTGAAAGGACATTTTGCCACACAGACAGCAAAAAATAGGTTTTAGCCCTTAATTGAAAAAATATTTGGGCAATAAATACACTTTAAATGTTGCCTAAAGTTTAATTTGACTTCTTTAGCTTCTGTACCTGTATTCTCATTATGGAGCAGGAAAGGTTTTACATTTCAGCTATGGGCCTGCTGATTTGACAGTAACTTTGTTATTACATATGATGCGCAAGTACTACATATATCATTTTTTAGGAGAAACAAGGCTTTCTTTTAGCAAAACTGTCTTGCAAAAATTATTGAAAATTATGTTTTTTATTATTAAAATGTATTTAATTATAAAAAATGTATTATATAAAATGTATATATTTATTATTAAAAAATATTTACAATTCTGTGCAGTGTACATGTAAGAAAATATAACAAACCCCCCCCCTCCCCCCCAAAAAAAAAACAACAAGCTTTTGATCAGTGATAGTTAGAAAACAAAGTGTGTCTGTTTGCTTCCAATTACCTCCAATCGCCTCCAAGTCAGTTCAAATATTAGGCACCAGCTATATCAGTTTGTGTACTTTACCAAAGTCCCTGCTATACATAGTTTGCAAGTCTGAAAGTGGATAAGTGTTATTTAACCTTTAAGATAAAATACCTACTTGTCAGTATGCAGTAAAAGATCAATACCACAATTCTGTTTTTTGTACTCCTTTCCTGCAGCACTCACCCCAGTCAGCTGCCTAAAGTAAGTGACTGGATACACTAAGAAGGTGCAAGGCTTCCATGATACTTGCTTCCGCTTGACTTTTTCGGGTACAACTCAGCACAGTAAACCTATTAGGATTTACGGCTTGCTAAGACTTAGTTGTGTTGTATTGGAATGAGCCAACTAGCTCAAGTAGTTGGTAGTCTTGCAAGTGGTGGTAGACTTGAAGCTGCTACCTTCCATGTTTATGGACTAGTCCTATCTTCAGGACTCAACAGTACTATGGAGCTTTTGTTACAGTTTGTATCAGTTTCATTAAATCCATCCATTATTACTGCGCATAGACACTACCTAAAAGAAGACATGTGCATGTAAAGTGCTCCAGCTGATCTGAGGGTGCTAAGAGGTTCATGTTTAGGTAAAAAACAATTTTTTACTTGTTCAGTAGTTACCCCCAAAACTTCCCAACTGGAGCATTGCTCATGAGGGGGCACTTGTTGACTAGAATCTTGGAACATTGTTCTAAATCAAGTGAAGTTGGGTAGGCGCCAGGCAAATAGATGTGACTGGTCTGAACTTTCAGATAATTTTCACAATACATTGCATTTGGTATGTGTTAAACTGTGTCTCTCATAGCTAAAATTCACTTAGAAAGGGGTGAGTCCCATACATTTCAGGCTTTTAATAGACAAAGCCACTATATAATAATGTTTGTTTATATCAGAGCCCTGACTACACTTACAAAATGTAGTGCCTGTTCAAAAGAAATCACGAATCTTTAGTGGACCATGACTAAGGGATGATTTTACTAAAGGAGTATATTATCAGCTCAGTGGAGCACCATTTACTTCTACTACTTCAACTATCTACTGTAATCATGTGGAAAGGAAATTCCTATTTATTTAAACTCTGCAGATAACTGGAAGTTCAAAGTGAACTCAGGAGAAGAAAAATTATACTGTTTTTGTAAACAAAAACCCCTAAGATAACAATATAAAACTAATATGCATACTAGGAAAGGTTAAGTCTGTCACGGTCTGGGAACCGTAGGTATAGGGATGCAGGCTCCAGGGTTTGCAGAGCAGCCAGAGACTGACTGAGCAGGAATCGGACCTGGGACACTGGTCACAAGGACCGCAAGGACACGTGGTACACTAGGCACATAGAGAAAAAGGATAGGATGACTTCACGTTTGAGTATAAGGAGTGCTAGGTCTTCTCCAGAGCTCCTGATGGTGGAGATTGGTTGTGCTGCAGGACAGCTCCCAAGTGGCGGCCCTCTAATACACCAGTGCAGACACAGCGAACAGAACTACAATGGGAGCAAGGCCACAGAACAGCATTGGGATACAGGACTCAGTGGCAGTTAGGGAAGAAGTAAGTAACCAGGAGGTCCAGGATATACATGAAGAAACAGGATCACACAGGAAGCACAAGAACACAGGAGGTCGACGTAGAGCACTGCAGAGCAGGATTGGCACCACAGGCTGATGCACGCAGGATGCAGGTGGATAGGGAGAGCAGACGCATGGGAGCTGGAGTGTGGAAACATAAAGCTGTGCAGACAAAATTCACAGCTCACAGGTGAATGCAATGGACGGTCACATGCAGAATCCACAGGAACACACTAAGAACACGGTAGAAAGCCAGAATACAGAAAGCAAGAGAGCAAAGGAATCCTCAGGAAACAGAAGACAAACTTAAGGAAACACAGGGGGTCCGGCTTCTAGTGTGCTGACACATTGCTTGAATGCTGAGCAGTATGTGTACTAGCTTTTTAACACAGAGGTTGAGAGCTGATTGGCAGGAAGCTGAGCACCTTGTACAAGGGGCAAAATCTGGCATTGGATCAGAGAACAGGAAAGTGTGACAAAGACATCCAGAAATACCACACTTAAAGATGTCATAATATAACACAGCATTCATTTTAAGGAAGGGTCCCCAAACTCTGCAGCTTATCAACCCATCATGGTTTCAAATCATTTATCCACCACCAAACATTTATAATATAAAAATAACTGAACATAAACAGGAATCCTTCATGTACCTATTTCCTTCATTGAAGGGGAAGGGTAGAAGGTCACAGACACACAGCACAAAGCATGCTGGTACGCAACTCCATTAACAGCACACACCTGAGGGAGACAACTCAAGGAGTTGTACAGTTGTGGGAAATACTGTCTCGCCGCTAGCTACCTCCTCTTCAGGCATGGCATGGAGCTGTACAGATTTCTCAAAAGGTTAATTGACTACAACTGAACTATCATTTATTGACCGCCTACTAACACCCAGATATTTATTGCACTCTTTTTTCAACTCCTCTGATAATTCCATGGACCTTTGGGGTTGATATTGACCAGTTTGGAGAACGCTGATTTAAAGTAAGTTTTCCACTTAATAAGCAGATGCTTAACAAAAGATTTTCCTGGAAATTCTCCAATCCAGCTAAAAATCGAAATACACATACCCAGGGCTATAATGGTCAACCTTCATCTAATTTTAGATCCAATACTCACCCCAGATCAGAATACCCGTTTTCTCCTTTCTCGCCGGTCCACCCGACACACATTTCGAGTGTTACATTTCCCCATAATCAGATCCATGATCACAAATCCACTGGTTTTCGGGGACGCTTTGCCAGGAAAGGCAACACCACCCGATTTCCGGGGCATACCAGGCCCCCCATTATGAAAAATGGCTCCCCTAGGGATTTCCCACTCCATAGACCCAGAGGCCATAGAAACTATTCTATTTATGATCAGGCTTCCTCTCTAGAGGGTCGGGCCACAAACAAGTCAGGGACCCGCATCCATCAAAATGAAAGACCATTCCGAAATCTCCGAGATATTCCCATACAGCTGTAGAAGGAAGAAGAACAAGTTCTTCCCAAAGTTTCGCCACTGGGTTATCCACGGAGTACAGTTCTGGAAACCTCTCTAGTCTCCCTCCATATAACCCTGTAGATGAAGATTTTCCCTCATCTTCTCAGGGTTTGTCTCACTTTTTGGGTACAAGACTAAGAAAAGGTTCACTAGAATGGGAAAGGGTTGGAACCAAACCGAAACAAAATTGTTCAACTGCCTGTAATACATTAGAGGGGGGACTGGAAAGTAACCATCACAACAATTTTTTGTTGGATTCCAGGACACCCAAAGTAAAAATAAAAAGAATGGTCGGGAGAGAAGGAGAGGATGTAGAGCAGGACAACAGGTCAAACAAAAAAGGAAGAACAAGTTTTTAGCCACCACAACCAACACCACTAACAATACTGCCAAGATTTTTAACCTTTCAAGCCATCCATTAAATGAGAGTGAGACTGCCATCCTCCAGAAAGGGCTAAATTTTGCCCCCTCTTCGGGGCCCAATGAATTTGAGTTGTTCTTAGACTTGCATAGGTTCACTAGAAAACTGACATTACATCGCCATTTTCTTATCAAAGATGCCAAAAACCCGCTTTCACTGAATAAGAATTGCTTAGAAGTAGTAACCGAAGTTATTTAACTTTTTTGGGCAAACACTATGTCCAATTGAAGGGCACGGCCATGGGAGCTAGGTTCGCTCCGAGCTACACCAACCTTTTTATGGCGTGGTGGGAACAGCAATACATTTGGGCTAACAACCCATTTGGCAAACACCTGGTCTTGTTCGCTCGTTATATTGACTATATTATTATTATTTGGGAAGGCACTGAGACCGATTTTTTAGACTTTGTAGTCGCCTCAAGCACCTACCTTCACTCCTGAGAGTACTAGGCAACTGTCCGTCCCAAGGACAGTCCATGCCTTTCCCCTCTAGAACTGATAAGAACAGATACTACACTTGATCTTAGCCAAAAGGCCGAGAAGCGATTTTAATGAAGCTTTTAAAAAACATCTAGTGCCCCCCCCACAAAGACCAAGAAAAAGAAGGTTAGCTATATATATATATTTATGTAGCTATATATATATATTTCCAAATATCAAACCAGTTTCTGTACCCAATATAACAATCATTTTCAGGCCTAAAATGTGGAATATAACATGGGTGCAAAAATTGAAAAAAGGGCCTCAGTCATGAAGGGGTTAATGTAAATATGTGTAGAAACATACTTTTATATATTTCCGAAGGATGGGTCAAAACGGCGCAAGCAAATATACAAATTATATCTGGAGATACATACAGTATCAATGTGGTGCAAAATAAACGATCTTCCCTATTTGGTGAACATTCACCATATGAATTAATAGGTCAGCTGATATGTATGAGACAAGGTATTAACCACCCAATTCATTACCAACTGTACCTATACTGTAAGATTATACGGGGGGAGCCTTAGATTGGGTTTATTGTTAAATGTGACAAACTACATATAACTCTCTGCAACTAAGTGAGACACTACAAAAGAGCACAAAATAAAAAGCTGTGAGCGGGCTCAGGTGTCAGGCTGCGATTACCGGAGAGGCTTGGTGTGCCTGTCAGACGGGTGTCAGTTAAAATCCGAATCATCGGAGATTGGTTTAAACACCACCATGTGATCTGCTAAAAATCCTGCGATTGGTCACCCTTGTATTTAAAAGAGCAGGATACAGGAGAGTTCTCTGAGGTTCTGATAAAGGGGGTGTGCCCCTGAAACGCGTAGACCTTTAGAACTCAAGGGGGCAGAGGACGCTGATGTGCTGTACTCCTTCAGACTTCCGCTGCTAGAGATTTTATACTTCATCACCATTTGTATGCTTTTAACCACCGACTTTCCTGTAAGTACATTTTTATTTGCGTGTTGTACAAATAAATTACACTTTTACACTAAGGAGGCGCTCTGTCTTGTCCCTTGTTTCCTAGAATCCTCCATCTATGCTAAGCCATGTGGGTGAATCTCCTGCAGGGCAAAGCTTCAGTATCTTGCTAGTGGGCCCTGCTGAATGTCAAAATACCTGAACAATCTGATTGGATGCAGGCATTGTTCCGGTATTTTGAGAGCCAGCTGGGCTGACTAGCAAGATACTGAAACTTGGCCCAGTGGGAGATTCCTCCATCCACACAGTTTAGCGTAGATGGAGGAATCTGTTACACTTTTTCCATCTGACCATAGAAAGTCTGCAGAAAATGTATAGGTGTATGGCCAACTTTAGCTTGATGAATGTGCTGAAATGTCACTTTGCATAGAATCCCTAATCTCATGCAAGGAAAACAAAAACAGTATCTTGCTTGCTTGCTTGCACATTATTGGTTGATGGAAGTCAGTAGAGCTTTACTTGATTCACTAAGCTAAGGGGAAGCATACTTTGCAAAGTGAACAGCTTATTTGCCTTTAGTGATATATAATACAGTATATAACCCCAGTAATATATAATCCCAGTGTAGGTTCTTCGAAGAACTGTCACTTGAGTGATATGCTTAAATGCTTTGCCACAGTGACCACAGGCATTCGAGAGCTCACCAGAGTGAAGATGTGACCTGTGACTGAAGCATTTGTCAGGAAGCAGGAACACCGGCACTCCAATGTTAGTTCAAATATAAAGTCTTTTTATTGTAGAAAAAACTACATGTCAAAAAGTTGCGACGACCGTTTCGGGGTCACACAGGATCCCCTTCTTCAAGCAATTACATGTGGACAAGTCATTACTTGAAGAAGGGGATCCTGTGTGGCCCCCAAACGGTCTTTGCAACTTGGTGACATGTAGTTTTTTCTACAATAAAAAGACTTTATATTTGAACTAACATTGGAGTGCCGGTGTCCCTGCTTCCTGCTGTTACATGACGGTTGTCTTCCGTCGACCACCGCAGCACCTAGATTCCTTCATTGGAGACAAGCGGTCAGCAGTGCGATGGGTTCATGGATCTAGTCTGAAGCATTTGTCACACTCAGCACTTCTGTAAGGTGTTTCACCAGTGTGTGACCTCTGGTGGACAGTTAGGCCCCATTCAGGCTTGCGCATTCTTTTATTATTTTTAGCCGATGGATTGCTAGTTACCAGGCAAGAAAATGTGTGAAAACCACACTAAAAGCATCAGAACGCTCAGATGTGAACAGGAGCCATTTAAAACAATGGGGCTCATCCTCTTGAAGGGGTGTAGTGCTTAGAAATTGGAGCTACAAAACGCTCAGGTGTAAGTGGAGCTTAGGGTTAAGCTCTGAGTGAATGTTTTGTAAATCTTTATAGCTAAAAAGACTTTCTCCTGTGTGAAGTCTCTGGTATCCACTTCAGGAAGAAGTGGGGTCACACCCATTGCAATCATATGGCCGTCCCCTTGTATGTGTGGGCTGGTGTCTCTACATAGAAAATTGTAAACTTAAAGCACTTCCCACACTCAGAATATTCAGATGGTGCTTTTCCTGAGTGTAGCTTGTGATGACTAAGTATGAAGGAATGGAAACGTTTTTCCCATACTCGTTGCAGCTATAAAGACTTTCTGCTGATGTAGGCCTCTGCTACTGTCTGACCACTGAAGACAAGTTTAGGCTTTGACCACATTGTTCATTCTCTGTCTTCTCCCCATATTCACATGTACTGTGTATCTTCACACACTGCCAGAGATTATACATTTAGGTCTTGGGAAATGAAGGTGCTGGGATCTGATCCATTGAAGTTCTCTGTGCATGATCTGAATTTCCACGTTACTGATGCCATGTTTTGCTTATTCTGGGGCAAGTAAAAATCATCTTGAGAATCTAATTATAAATTAGCAAACAACATAAAGTAGCAAAATGCTGAACATCATTAGATTGTATAAAAACCCTAACAATAAACTTTGTTTGCGTGTGTGTGTATATATATATATATATATATATATATATGTATATAGTAATCGTAAGTATAAATACCGGTAGATCTTGTCAAAAATTCTGTGCTATCCTCTGTGCTCTACAGTGTTACCTCACATAATGTTATCAGCCCTGCCCATTTTACCTCTGTGAACTACAGAACACCTTCCTCTATGGTATGGAGATTGGGAGAGGACGATGTTGTCATAACACACTTCCTGTTATATTGACAGTACTGCTCATCCATAGATACAACACAGCAATGCAGCGAGCATTATCTCCGAAGGACAGGAGGTGTGCTCCTGGCAGAATCACTAGGTGAACATAAAGGTCCCGAGCACCGTTCAAACCAGCCGAAAATCGTACGATTCTCGGCTGGTTTTCTAACATGCTCCTTAGACAAAAGACGTGCGGCCGTACAGTAGAAACGGTCGCACGTCTTCGTTCACACTGTTCGATTCTCGTACGATCGTGGGATTTCCCGCGATTCTCGTACGAGAATCGAGCAGTGTATGGGCACCTTAAGAAAGAAGTCTGAATAAGAAAAAATGAATGCAGCCACCACACCCAGAAACTTGTAAGCTGCGATATATGTAAGTTAATTGCATCTCCTCCTCCATGCCCATGTGACAAAGGAAGATCCATACTCTTTTATACCTATGCTGGACTAATGTAGCTCAGAGAAGCCCAGTGTTTAATCAGTTAAAGCTTACCCCATAGTTATTGTAAGAGAAAATACAGAAACTGAAATGGTGCTTCCTCCCTAGTTTCATTTTGGCATGCAGATTTAATGAAGAACTCTGAGCAGAAATAATCTTAACTCTTGCCATGGGGCTACCCCCACACTACAAAGGTTAAGTGCTTGTTTTCGTGTAGGGTGTTAAATAAAAAAGTTATACTCACCTGAACCTGGGAGCCAGGTTCTTTTAG